GCCACATAGGAGCAAATTACCTTTTTACCTTAGTAATTGTAATATTTCTTTCGCTAAATTTTCTTCGATATATCTTTTCTTGTTCTTGGGGTACGGTTTTAATTCTACATAATCCGGGCCCCTCATAGAGTTCTCGGCATTCGTGCTCATTCCTGAAAATTTAGCAGAAATATTACAATTACTAAGGTAAAAAGGTAATTTGCTCCTATGTGGCTTTAATATTCTAATTTAAATCTACCTATTTATTAGTATATTCAACTTGGTGAAAGGTTATTGTGCTATAAAAGGATTCCACCTAATAAGTTTGAGCACGAAGGAATGCACTCCCATTCCCGGGATAACTATTGTTTTCATTTCTGCGATGCCAAGTGCAAATTTTGCAATTATTATGTATGTATCTGTTAACCATAATAGTATTTCAAACTAATGACTATGATTTTTCGATAGTGTACTTTGCCTTATGGAAACAAGTCATGGAAATATGACTCAAACGGAATTTACAAGTGAAGATCAATACTTTGAGTATAAAGGGTATGAAAATACTGTATTTTAACTCATTATGTGACGTATTATGTACTATATACTGTACTGTGTTTTACCTTTATCAATTTAAGTGACAAGTTACAAATAGGAGATCACGAAACACTTGTTCTGTGTAATTTGGTACGTCTATGTATAAAATATTATTGTTGTTATTATATTTTCTTCGCTCAGTTCATTTTAAAAATTTTTATATACATGCTGGTGTTAACTATTAATAGTACTGTAAGGGGACAGGGCGTCATCGACATATCGATTACTGTCGAAATGAAGAGACTTGTAAACTAAATACCAATCATCCGAACATTCAACATATTAGTGGTATTTTGCTATTAAACTCCCTCTTATCGAGTAAAATTATTTTCCCAATTTACTTGTATATACATTTTCTAGCTCCAGTTTATCCAAATCCTCATCAGGCGAAAGACTTTATCTCACATCGTCTCTTCTGGGAACGCACAGGATTTAAAGGTTTGTTGTAATCTGTATTATATGTATTGGTATATTTCTTTTTTTTTTGCTTATAACAAAATTTTATTTTAGACCCGTATTCAATTCAGGAACAACAAGATTTTGCGAAATGTGATCATGAATGTCAGGATGAAATTCATCATAAATCCAGTGGAGCTTCTAATTCACAATCTAATAAATCCTATTGTGAATTACCTCTTTTCCATCCAAGTCTAAATCCATCACAACCACCACCAAATGGTATTGGCTATGTTTCACTTGATGGTCAACACTTTAACTGTGAGAATCCAAGTAAAAGAGAGGCTGCATTTCACATTATATTTGCGTTAGATAAATCTGCCTCTATGTCATCAAGCGACAAAAAACCATTACCAGACACTCCCTGTTATGATAAGCTAAAGAAACATAATAACAGGATTGGAGCAGTTTACAGCGCGGTAAAATACAGGATTGTTGACGCTTAAAAAAACTTTTTAAACGAATTTTTGTCTAAGGCAATTTTCTTTTAAAGGTTTATGCATTTATGAAAGCTCGGTTAGCCAGTCAAAGTGGTCAACTTCAAAGACAAGCTGCAAATAAAGACATTATATCATTAATACTTTTTGATCATGAACTTATTGTACCATTTGAAAATTACGTTCTCACCGATGCTGATGTCTTGTTAAATCATATGATTAAATATGAGGCTTCAGGAGGAAAAGATTTTAACCTTGCCATACAAAAAGCAGGATTCTTAATCAACCAATATTATGACGCAAACAAGTAACTGTTTCTGTTTATTATTAGTCAATTTTCCCAAATAATTTTTAATGTGTTAAATTGTTATTATTTTAGAGCAAATATCATCATTTTTCTCTCTGATGGAGGTGCTGGTGTACCACGCGATCAACTTCAACGAATATGTGAATACAACAAAACAAGAGGGTTTGTACCATTAATAAAAAAGGTTCAATGCAATTATGTGTTACAAGAACATTGACTTTAAATTTTTTTTTTTTTTTGTACAGAAATCCTTTATTTTTGTATACAGTACTATTTGCTAATCAATCGGAAAGTAGTTCTTTGAGAAAAATGGCAGAAATTGCGCAAGAATATCAACCGCCTAACAGTTCTGTGAGTTCTCTCAGATGTCAATATAATAACGTCATGACTGAGATAAATTTGGTAACCACTTTCGTGGGCATCGCTGAAAGTATTCGAAAGCACAAACCGTCTTTAATGAAAAAATCTACAAATTAGAATTGTAATGAGATCGT